TGAGATGGTTAGCAATCTGATATAGGTTATACATGTGCAGTCATGTAAAACATTTCTATATTAGTCATTTTTGTGCAAGAAAACTCGAAAACAAAAGGAAAAAGAAAGTGAAAAATAGTATTCTTCAATCTGTATTCGATGCCATCAGTTCTTTCCCTGGAGGTGGATAGCATTTTTCATCCTAAGTTCCTTGGGATTGTCTTCGATCACTGTATTGCTGAGAATAGCTAAGTCATTCACAGTTGATTATTATACAATATTGCTGTTCTGTGTACAACACTCTCCTGGTTCTGCTCACTTCACTCTGTATCAGTTCATGTAAGTCTTTTCCTAGTTTTTCTGAAATCATAATTCTCCTCACTTCTTATAGCACAATACTATCCATTCCAGTCATATATCAGCCATTCCTCAATTGATGGACATCCCCTCAATTTTTAATTCTTAGCTACTACAAAAAGAGCTGCTTAGCAGTCTTTTTTATTTTTTTCTCTCTGTAAGACAGTAGTGATGGAAGAGATAATGGGTGTGGATAAGTTTGGAATTGTCTTGGGCTCAGTCTTTGAGGTAGTTAATTCCCTTGGATGGAAGAAAGTGGTGAGAAATATATACAGACAGTTTTTGCTTTTCAGAAATTCACATTATGTAAATTGGTCTTTATGTAAAGAATTACGAAAAAAATTCAGATGCATATTTTGAATGAGGATCTGATTGAGCTGCTGGCTGCAAAGATTGCGGAAGAAAAACAGAAGTGTCTGAATCCAAGACTGAACCAGAAAACTTCACAATGAAAACAGTTCATCATTTGAAGCTCTTTCGTCATTTGAGTGAATTTTTCTTGTATTGAAGAGATGGATCCAAATATTTCAAGATTTTTAAAAGTTCAGAGGCTCATTGAGGATAATATTGCTTGCTAGCCTCAGATATATGAGGGGGGAAAAAAAACCACTGTCCAAACATCTTTCCGTAGCAACATTAAAAAAAAAAAAGTTGTGCTGCCAGCCACCAGAGATAAAGGGCAGGTGCAGTCACTCTCATGTTAAGATGACTCAGTGGCTTCCCATTGTCTTTATTTGAAGTCTTCCTCCTCATTTAAAGCCCATCACAATCAGCCTCATCAGAGAGTTGAGTGGCACAGTGGATGGAGCTATGGATCTAGAGTCAGGACGACCTGAGTTCAAATCCCTCTTCTGATACATGCTAGCTCTGTGACCCTTCCCCTCCCCCTACCATCCCTTCTCCCCTCCTCCCTTCCTTCCTTCTCTCCTTTTCTCCCTTTCTTTTCCTTCCTTCCCCCCCCTTTCCTTTCTTTCCTCTCCCTCTCTCACCCCCCCCAACCAATGATTTCATTGGGTGAGGGTGCTCTTGATGAGGAGCCCCCTCCAGAAATGCAGCTTGGCTCCTGTTCTGTGTCCCATATCCTTAGAGAGTCTCCTGGTACACGAAGAGGTTCTGTCATTTACCCAGGGTCACACAGCTGCTGTGTATCAGAGGGCAGGAAATGAACCCAGGACTTCCTGACTTCCCAGTCCCCTCTACTAGGCTAGGAAGGGAGGGGGTGGTGGAAACTTAGTCACTGCCCTTGAGGAACTTTAATTTGTTAATAATAGGCAGATTTTTAAGTACTTCAAGGACTTGTGGTTTCATGTGTGGGTAATCGTCCCCTGCTCCATCATACCAACCTATCTTCATTTTAGTAGATTTGCCCCAGCTGCCAACATGATAGGTTTTCCAGACACAGTTGGGTGGGTGCTTGGGTGGGACCTGCCTGGCTCACGTGCGTGCCACGAGGAGCTAGTTTAGGAACTCTTTAGTGGAGGAAAGATTAAAATGGCTTAAATAAAAAGATAACAAGTGGTTCAGACATTAAGGGTTCTAAGAATTGTCTTGTCATTCATTAATTAGAGCTGGAAGGTTCTGCAGAGGCCATCTCGTCCAACACCCTTATTTTACAAGTTAGGAAACTGAGACCCAGGGAGGATAAGTGACTTGTGAAAATTCCCTCAATAGCGAGGATTGTTGGTGAGATCTGGATGTTATTCCTTTCTGAGATCTTGACTTTATCACATCTTTTCTGGCCCTACTGTTACCCCTCTATGTAAAGTCCTTAATCACCCACCCCGTTCCTTGACTATGTGTGTACTTTTCTTGCTAGGCTCTCCTCTTTTTAAACCATTACATAATTCTTTCAAAAGTTTTATTGCTATTTTTAAAAAAAGCAGTCATTTCTGATATACTGTATCCCACACACAGCTGAACAAAGTTCTTGTAACAAAGAAACACAGTATAACAAAAGCAGCCAACTTATGCAATCTCCTGACGGCACATGCAATATTCTGTAGCCTTGGCCCTTCCTGCTAACTCCTGTCAAGAGGGCAGCAGCTAAGGTTGTCAGCTTGGACCAAAATCCAGATCTCCTGAATCATAGTACAAAGTGTGTGTGGGTGTGGGTGTGTGTATATGTGGGTGGTATACGGCAACATTTCAGAGACATTCTGAACAATTTGTTTTCTTAGCCTGTAATATACACACTTGTATGTGTGTATTTGTATATTTACATATACAAACACATGCACATATCCAAATGAGGAAAGTTAGACTTTCAAGTTTTTAGATGAGATTTTAAATGTTTTGCCCATAGTCATACCACAAATGCATTTGAGGCAACATTCGAGTTCAAATTCTCCTGACTCTGTCAGCTGGGCTCTATTCACTGTGCTACCTGTCTGTTCCTAGATATCGGGAATTACTGGGGGACTTAGCACCTCTGTCATTGTGAGAGGCACTGTGGTTTAGTAGATAGTGTGTGGATCTTGGAGTTAGGAAGACCCAAGTTCAAATCTCACTTTTTTTTTTTCTCTTTCGTTAGGCAATTGAGGTTAAGTGACTTGCCCAGGGTCACACAGCTAGTGACTATTATGTGTCTGAGGTCGAATTTGAACTCAGGTCCTCTTGACTCCAGGGCCGGTGCTCTATCCACTGCGCCACCTAGCTGCCCCTCAAATCTCACTTTGACTCTAGCAGTGTGACCATAGACAAAACACCTAATTTGTGTGAGTCTGTTTCCTTATTTGTGAAATATGGATGATAATGCCCTACAGTGCCTGGAACATTTTTGTTCAGTCATGTCTGACTTTTCAAGACCCCATTGGGGTTTTCCTGGCAAAGATACTGGAGTGCATTGCCATTTCCTTCTCCAGCTCATTTTACAGTTGAGGAAACAGGCAAACAAAGTTAAGTGACTTGTTTGGGGTCACACAATTAATATTCGGAGGCTGAATTAGAACTCTGGAAGATGAGTCTTCCTGGCTCTAGGCCTGGCACTCTCTCCACTGTACCACCTAGCTGCCTGGAACATAATAAATATTTAATAAATGCTTGTTGATTTGACATGATGGTAGTACATACTTGATAGGTTTGTTGTAAGGCTCCTATGAGATGATGTATTTTTGTTTTGCTAACTTTAAGGTGCTATATAATATAAAAATGATATTAATATTAATAACATGAATGACAATAATTTGAACCGCATCTGCCTCAGCTGCTTGAATGGTACAAATAACATTTAGTTTTAAATTGGTTTTGCTAATCTTATTAGTCCATCAACTTGGCAGCAAGCCAGTCCTGGTCCAAGGAGGGTGCGTTACTTGTCTTTCCAGAATGCCTTGACCTCCACAGAAGTCTTATCTTTCTAGTTTTTTTTTTTTTTTTGAAAAAAAAAAAAAAAACAACAAATCCTCTGCTAGATTAGGACTGGAGAATCTAGGGAAGACCACAGAGAACAAGGATGCGTGTAAATCATTTTACACACAAAGATGAATTTCTGACAAGTTTTGTGTGCAAATTGCACTGTCTTAAGTATCTGGCAGGATCTGGCTCTGCCTTTGTCCCTTTAATTCTGTGGGTGATGCACATCATTTTGGACAAGGTCTAAAAGCTGAGATTGCTGAGAGATGATATTTTGGGGCCAGTCTTTTTCCCATATAATTTTTTTTCTTTTTGATGTTGTAAGCCTAGTGTTATAAGACAAGGGTGATGTGTGACATGACCCTCCCCTCCCTACCAAATGTTTTCTGTTAACCTTAGAAATAGCCATGCTTTGGTGATAGGGGTAAGGAATGGACATGTGATTTTGTCATTGTAGGAAATTCTCTAAGACTATTAAGTGGCAGAGGGGATGATGACTTGCATTGTTAGAAGGTGTTTCCTCTTTTGGGGGAGATTGCTTACACCAAAGCAACCAGGGACCCGGTGCTAATAATAGATATTTATCTAGTACTTCAGAATTTGCAAAGTATTTTACATATGTTATCTCCTATGAGCCATACCACAGTCCTGTCCGTAATGCAACTACTATCTATTATCTGTACTTTCAAAGATGAGGAAACTGAGTTATTTGGACTACTTGCCCAAGGTTATCCAGGTAATAAGTATCAGAGATGGAACTTGAATTCAGATCTTCCTGACTCCTAGGTCAGCACTCATTGCACTACACTGGATTCTTTCTTGATATGTTATAAAATATTGTTGGGTAGAGCAGGCGGTTGTATTAACTAATCAATCTCGTAGGTTCCAACTTGGGCCACAATTACAGGCCTATACATAATTTAATCTGATTACCAAAAAAGGAATGTGGCAAATTTAAATTTCCAGAGGAGGGGGGAACAGAGAAAATCTCAAACAGAAGTGTTTTGTTGATATATGTGATAGACCTCTTTGTTGTGAGAAAGACAGCTCTCCGAGTCCTCTCTTGAAGAGTGGAAAGAGTAATGTTGCATATTTTAGTCAAGTTTTCCCCCACTCTTGTCTTCCTTCACCACCCTTTTAAAAGTTCTGGTGCTTTCTGAAGTTGAGAAGGGATCTGGTTGTTGGCAGGATGAGATGAAACTCTTAATTATGTTATTCACATGAGTTCTGGGTGGGGTGGATGGAAATGTAATGCTCACTTTTTCCTCCGTGGGAATCTAACACTGTGCCCTTTTGTTATCACCCTTGTTCTCTAGGCATTAAGTGTAACGGAGACCCTGATTAAGCCTTTGGAAAAATTCAGGAAAGAGAAGCTTGGAGCTGTAAAGGTTTGTCCCTTTTTGGAATGTACTTGTAAACAGAACATGTGTTGCTATTTTGAAATGCTGGTTTACCTACATTTGGAAACTTGGGAGAGCTTCTGCTTTACAATTTGTGAGAATTTTCATCTTTTGGGGTGAATATGAAGTCACGAATACAAATACAGATTCCTAGGAAGGACAGTGAAAATTGCTGTTGTGATAGCCTTTGGCAGCCTTTTCCATTCCTAAAACTAGTTTGTGTGTTTATCCTACTGGTACTAAATCTATTGGGACCTCCCATTACCAGTCAAGGCTGATGAAGATGGAGATGACAATAATAACTGACATGTGTATCATGTTTTGGGGTTTTCAAAGTGCTTTATGTACATGGGGTTAAGTGAACCTCTAAACAAAATAGCATCTTTTTCTTTCATTCAAGTTTCAATAATTTTTTTAAAAAAGTTCATAGTCTGGGAGGTAAAGTGCTATTTTATGTAAGTTACCTATATTTACCAGCTCATTTTGGGATCTGGCCAGTACTTAAGCATGAATACTGTTATTGCCAAAGAGCTCCCTGGGATATGTTTGTTCATCAATAGCAAATGGTGGGAATCTTGGTTTTGTATTAGGTCCCGAAGGTTCTTGTATCACATGTGGGAGCAATAAATTATGTTTATTGTGAATGAGGAGCAGCTAGGTGGTGCAGTGGTTAGAGAGCCAGACCTGGAGTCAGGAAGATTCCTCTTCCCGAGTTCAAATCTAGCCTCAGACTCTTACAAGCTGTGTGACCCTGGGCAAGTCACTTAACTCTGTTCGCCTCTCTTTCCTCATCTGTAAAATGAGCTGGAGAAGGAAGTGGCAAGCTGCTCCAGTATCTTGGTCAAGAAAACCCCAAATGGGATCACAAACAGTCAGACACAACTGAAACAACTGAACAGCGTTGTGGATGACTGACCTTTTCTGCTTTGTGATCTCAGGGAGAACTGCTCAGAGGGAAGGAAACAAGAATTTATATGGTGTGCTTAGTGCTTTTAACAAATATTATCTCATTTGATCCTCACACTTGTGAGGGAGGTGCTATTATTATCCCCATTTTACAGTGGAGACAACTGAGGCAAAAAGATGTGAAGAGACTTGCCCAGGGGCTATACAGCTATTAAGTCTGCTGTTGGATTTGAACTCACTTCATCCTCATTCCATGGCTAGCACTTTGTCCACTGCGCCGTCAGCTGTCTCTCAGAAGAACAAGACTAGGAAAGAGTTTTTATAGATTAAAGTACTTTGCACTTAATACAGACATGAGGCTGTCTATCTGTACAATCATCACAAGCCTTTCATATCTAACAATTGAATCTGTTAAACATGTTTATTGATTTTTTAAAATAATTCATTACAACTTTCTAATACCTACCTCCTCATAAAAACCCCTCCTGTGTAATGAATTAGTATGGTTGGGGGCAGCTAGGTGGTGCAGTGGTTAGAGCACCGGCCCTGAAGTCAGGAGAACCTGAGTTCAAATCTGGCCTCAGACCAAACACTTGACACTTACTAGCTTTGTGACCCTGGGCAAGCCACTCAACCCCAACTGCCTAAGCAAAAAACAAAACAAAACAAAAAAACAAAAAACCCCCCCAAAAAACCAAAAACAAATTAGTATGGTTAAGCAAAAATATCCTGGTTCATTGGTTATGTCTCACAACATGTGCATCATTTCACATTTTACTCTTTCACCTCTTCCTTGAGATTGCAGAGGTGTGTTTCACTGTTAGTGTTCTGGAATCAGTATTTATCATATTTATCAAAGTTCTGATTTCTTTTAATCCAACATTTAATCTTAAAATAATACAAATCCACAGGCTCCTTGAGCTCACAGGGATGGTAGTGATTACACAGTTTACATATTTTGTTACAGATGATGAAACTGAGGTCCAGAGAGGTGCGAAGTGTCAACAGAGTTAAGATTTGAACACAGAACCTTTGACTCCACATTCAATACTTTTTTCCATTATGTAAGAAACTCCATCTAATTCCAAATATATAGTCAATATCTACCTTCACCTAGCCCTCATACAAATGATTTCTTTGTTTGGAGCCCTGTGGTTAAAACATTTTTCCTGTGTTCTTTTTCTAGTTTTATGTCTTTTTCAGGGTTTATCCACTTTGAACTGACTTTTCAGATCCCTTCTGACTCTGATATCTTCTACCTTCATTCTTAATTTCACAGCATTACCAAATCTCAGGGTTGGAAGAGATGTAAAGGACCGTTTAGTCCTTCTTTTATCTGAATAGGAATCCTTTCTCAAACTTATCTGTCAAGTGATCAGCCAGTTTTTGCTGTAAGATTTCATGGTAGGCAGAACCCATTCCCTCCCTACATAATCCATTCTCCTTTTGGACAGCTCTGATAGGTAGGACGTTTTTCCTCATATCCAACATAATTTAATTAGGTAAAGAAGACAATCTGAAGGTGGGTCTCCATTAGTTTTACTTAAAGAGCATTTGCTTTAAACTGATAACTTAAACCTGGAATTGGGTGTTTTGGTTATTCTGTGCATGGCACTGAGCTGAGAAGACCTTGCTTTAACTCTTGCCTGACCCCTACCAGCTGTGTGGCCTTATTTAACCCCTTTAGGGCTTGAAGCAGCTTCTCTAAAGTTGTGCACCATATAACTCTGTGGGTGAAAAGAATTTCTGTACTGAGAGTCCCTCCACACTGATTATATATCACATGTATATATATTTTAAATACTTATATTTTAAGATAATATACGTGCATCTCTTAAATCCTTTAGGTATTTGAGTATTTCAGAGGATAATAACATTTTTTATACCATAATGATTTGTCGTGTTCATTTTCTCAAATTTTATATGCTGGTTTTATACAGGTAGATTTTATATACAGGTTTCTTCACAATAGGTATTCTTATTTCAGTCTATGAATTAGTTTTTTTTTTCTTTTTAAATTAGAACTTGAATGAAAGGTCCTATTTCAACCCTAAAGACTCAGAGTGACTTTTAAAAGATGAATATATCTCATTATGTCTGTCATTTAGCTGAATTTAATGAAATTCTTTTTTCTGCATATGTATTTATAGGATCACAGGTTAGATGTAGGGCTAGAAAAGATGGTGGAGAGTATTTAATCCATCCCTTTCATTTTACTGAAACAGAGTCCGATAGAGCTAAAGGGACTTACCCAAGCTCCCACAGGTAGTAAGTGGAATAGATAGGATTTGAACTCATATACTTGATTCCAAGTTCATTGTTTTTTCCACTGTATAATAATACCTCTGTCATATTTGTTTTCTGTCTTTCACTCTTCTTGTCAAATATTCTTGGTCTCCCTTCATTGGGAAAGTTAATACTTGCCAAGAGATATCACAGAGCCCTTTGCAAAATAAATAGTTCTATTTGGATGCTAAAGCAGGCTCTCATTTTTCTCTCTTACTTACTTACTCACTCACTTACTCAGCTTTCCCTCTGGCCTACCTTCCTCCACAGGTTAGAACTAGTTCACAGAGCCTTTTTGTCCACTCTGGCCTCTGAGTGAATAGTGGGTCTCCTCATTGATTTTTTTTCCTCCAGTAAGAAGGCTAGTTACCTTACTTACCAGGAGTTACCAAACTTACCAGGAGAGTTGATGATGGGTTGAGAATGGGGGTACTTTATTGCTAGAATACCCTAGAGTAATTCTCACATTAGAACCTCTGTGGAATTGTAGTTTACCTTCTTAGAGTAAGTAAGATTGTTCCCAGGAACCAGAGATAGCCTGAGAATCTGGATATTGAATTGCTTTCTGAAGCCAAATACTTTTTAATTTGTTTAGAAAAATGTTGTTTTGTTTCTGGCTAATTGGCCTGTATTGAACCCTTAAAACCTAACTTAGAGCTCAGAGGTACCTTAGAGGTCACGTAGTCTAAAACTTTTATTTGACAGATGAGGAAACTGAGGTCTAGACAGGGCACATGTCTTGGCCAGGGGTCCCATAGGTAAAACCAGTACTCAAACTTATGTTTCCTGGGTCCCGTTTCAAGGCTGTTCCCATTCCATTTCATTGCATCCCAAAATGTTTGACCAACATTCAGTTTTCACATGAGGATTAAATGATTTTGGCAAGGGAAGACGGATGGGGGTAGGAAAACAGATGACCTTATTGGAGGTTTTCCACACATGAATATCACCATTTCTGGTTGTCCCTTTCCCTCCCCTTTGTCCCATATAGTAATGTTATTCTCTTTTTTAGACTGAGGCTCTTTTCTTCCATCTGTTTCAGTTCTGTTTAATCATGATTTCTTCAGTTCCTGGAGCCACAGTCATGTGCATAAGCTTGGCTTTTGCTTACTTTGAATTGTTAGGTGGTTTCTGTTAATGGGATATTGTCAAGATTAAAAAACAAACTAAAAACAAAAGCAGGAGTCTCTGAATCCCTCCTTTCTTTCAACTCATTTCAGCAAACACTTATTAAATGTCAGGTGTGTGGAAAACATCATGCTAGGCCCTGGAGGGAATAAAACCTCTAGAGAATACAATAGTGCCTGTCCTCGCGGAGCTTGCAATCTTATTAGGAGAATGTCTATGTCTACCCAAAGAAATATGGTACAGGATAATGTAAGATAAGTACACCAGAGAGGAGTAAATGACTCGCATTTGAAGAGTTCTCTAAGATCGTGGGATTGTAGGTCAACCTAGGGCTGCAAAGGACCTCAGAGGACATCTAGGCCAGGTTCCCCCCTTATTTTACAGATGAGGAAACTGAGATTCAAGGAAAAGTGGCTTCACCAAGCTCATACAGGTAGTAAATATTAGAGGCAGGGTTTGAATCTGATTTTGCTGACATCAGAGTCAATGCTATCCCCACTGTACCACATTTACCTTTTCTCAGAACAGCACTGTTAGATACTGGAAGTCCTGTTTTGCCCATTTTGTAGACGAGAAAGCAGACTGGGTTAAATGACTTCTCTGGGGTTCCATAGCTACTAATTGTTTATTTGTGGGTTGGAGTCAGTACCTCCTCATTCCAGGTCCAG